AACTATCTGACTCCATGAGGAAAGGAAATATAAGAGTTATAGGAATTCCAGAAGGAGAGGAGAGAGATGTAGGAACAGAGAAAATATTCATGGATATAATGAAGAGAACTTCCCAAATGAGAAGAAGGAGCTGAAAATTGATATACAAGAAGCAAGAAGAACACCAAACTTCCACGACGAAAGGAAAAACACAGCAAGACACATAATAGTAAAGCTCCCAAGAATCCAGGACAAGGAAAAAATAATGAAGCTGACAAGAGGGAAGAAACAGATAACATTCAAAGGAAAACCAATCAGGCTGACATCAGACTTCTCTGAAGAAACACTACGGGCAAGGAGAGAGTGGAGGGACATAGTCAACAGACTCCAAGAAAACAGATGCCAACCAAGAATACTCTATCCCGCAAAGCTCTCTTTCCTCCATGAAGAAAGAATATGGACCTTCCCAGACAAAGAGAAACTCCGGAATTTCATTGCGACTAAACCCCCACTCCAAAAAAATACTACAAGGAATCCTAAAGCCAGACCTCAGAGGGACGAATAACAACGAAGAAGACCAAAAAAAAAAGTTATTAAAAGAATAAATAAATAAAATCAAAGGAAAGACAAACATAATGGCAAATACAGATGCTAACATATCAATATTAACTCTAAATGTAAATGGACTAAACTCTTCAATAAAAAGACACAGAGTTGCAGCCTGGATTAAGAAACAAAACCCAACCTTTTGCTGTCTCCAGGAAACACATTTAGCTACAAAAGATAAAAATAGGCTCAAAGTCAAAGGATGGAAAACAATCCTACAAGCAAATGGGCCAAAAAAGAAAGCAGGAACAGCTATACTTATATCAGATAAAACAGACTTCAAACTCAAAAAAATAAAAAGAGACCCCAATGGTCACTACATTATGATTAAGGGGACAATACTTCAAGAAGAAATAACACTCATTAACATATACTCACCAAACGAAAGAGCACCAAAATATATCAGACAACTGTTGTCCTCTCTGAAAACAGACATCAGAGAAAACACATATGTAGTGGGAGACTTCAACACACCACTATCAACAATGGATAGATCAACAAGACAAAAAATAAGTAAAGAAACTAAAGCTCTAAATAAGGACCTAGAGCATTTGGGCTTAACAGACATCTATAGAACACTAAACCCAAAAAACGGAGTACACATTTTTCTCAAGCGCACACGGATCATTCTCCAGGATCGATCACATACTGGGGCACAAGACAAACATCAACAGATACACCAAGATTGAAATCATACCAACCATCTTTTCTGACCACGAAGGCATCAAACTAGAAATAAATCATAAAAAGAAGGCAAGGTACTATCCTACCTCATGGAGATTAAAAGCCACACTACTGGAAGACCACTGGACTAACGAGGAGATCAAAGAAGAAATTAAAAATTCTTTGAATTGAATGACAAGGAGGACACCAATATCCTAAATGTATGGGATGCAGCAAAAGCAGTAATAAGAGGAAAATATATAGCAATAGAAGCTCACATCAAAAAACAAGAAAGAACTCAAAGAAACAACCTAATCTCGAAGCTCAAAGATCTAGAAAAAGAACAACAAAAAACCCCAGAACCAGTAGAAGAAAAGAAATAATAAAAACCAAAGCAGAAATAAATGAAATTGAAACTAAAAAAAACAATCCAAAAGATCAATGAAACCAAGAGCTGGTTCTTTGAAAAAAAAATAAAATAGACAAACCCCTAGCCAGGCTCACAAAGGAAAAAAGGGAGAAAGCACAAATACACAGAATCATAAATGAAGAGGAGAAATCACAACGGACACAGCAGAAATCAAAAGAATAATCAGTAACTACTATGAACAGTTATATGGAAACAAGTTCAACAATCTAGAGGAGATGGACAAATTCCTACAACTCTACAATCACCCAAAGCTAGATAAAGAAGAAATAGAACACCTAAACAGACCAATTACAAGCAGCGAAATTGAAATGGTAATTAAAAACCTCCCCAAAAACAAAAGCCCAGGACCTGATGGATTTACAAATGAATTCTACCAAACATTCAGAGACGAATTAGTGCCTATCCTTCACAAACTCTTCCAAAAAATTGAGAAGGAAGGGACAATACCAAACACGTTCTATGAAGCCAATATTACACTAATACCAAACCGAATAAGGACAACACAAAAAAGGAAAACTATAGGCCAATCTCCCTAATGAACACTGATGCAAAAATCCTCAATAAAATTTTAGCTATCAGAATCCAACAATGTATCCATAAGATAATTCACCACGACCAAGTTGGATTCATTCCAGGGGCACAAGGATGGTTTAACATCCGAAAATCAATCAACGTTATCCAACACATCAACAAAAAGAAATATAAAAACCATATGATAATATCAATAGATGCTGAGAAAGCTTTCGACAAAGTGCAACACCCATTCATGATAAAAGCCCTTGAAATTCTTGGGATACAAGGAACATACCTCAACATCATAAAGGCCATCTATGACAAGCCAACAGCCAGTATCATTCTCAATGGTGAAAAGCTGAAAGCAATTCCATTAAGATCTGGAACAAGACAAGGATGTCCACTCTCACCACTGCTTTTCAATATAATACTGGAAGTCCTAGCCAGAGCAATAAGACAAGAGAAAGACATCCAAGGAATCCAAATTGGAAAAGAAGAAGTCAAACTATCACTATTTGCAGATGATATGATAATATACATAGAGAACCCCAAAATCTCCACAGAAAAACTAATTCAACTCATCAATCAATTCAGTAAAGTGGCAGGATACAAAATCAACACGCAAAAGTCAGTAGCCTTCCTATACACAAACAATAAATCTGAAGAAGAAGAAATCAAAAAAACCACCCCTTTTATTATCGAAACAAAAAAATCAAATATTGGGAATAAATCTAACAAAAGAGGTAAAGGACCTATACAAAGAAAACTATAAAACACTGTTAAAAGAAATAGAAGAAGACACAAAGAAATGGAAAGACATCCCCTGCTCATGGATTGGAAGAATAAACATTATTAAAATGGCCATCCTACCAAAAGCAATATACAGATTCAATGCTATTCCAATCAAAATCTCAATGGCATTCTTCAAAGAAATAGAACAATTATTGATGAAATTCATATGGAATCACCAAAAACCCCGAATAGCCAAAGCTCTACTGAAAAAAAAGAAGGAAATGGAGGCATCACACTCCCAGACTTCAAACTATACTACAAAGCCATAATCATCAAAACTGCATGGTATTGGAACAAGAACAGACATACAGACCAATGGAATCGAATAGAAAATCCAGAAATAAACCCACAGATTTATGGTCAACTAATCTTTGACAAAGGAGCAAAGACTATGCATTGGAGCAAAGAAAGTTTGTTCAATAAATGGTGCTGGGAAAACTGGGTCGCTACATGCAAAAGAATGAAGCTTGACCACTACCTCACACCATACACAAAAATCAACTCAAAATGGATTAAAGAACTAGACATAAGACCTGAAACCATAAAATACATAGAAGGAAATATAGGCGAAACACTACGGGATTTGCACATCAAAGACATCTTTACAGACACATCACCCAAAGCAGTGATAGTGAAGACAAAGATAAACAGCTGGGACTACATCAAATTAAAGAGCTTCTGCACAGCAAAAGAGACAATAACAAAAACAAAGAGAAACCCCACCAACTGGGAGAACATTTTTGCACCCAACACTAATGATAAAGGACTGATCACAAAAATCTGCAAAGAGCTGATGAGACTCAGCAACAACAAAGAAAATAATCCAGTCAAAAAATGGGCAGAAGAGCTAAAAAGAAACTTCTTTGAAGAGGAAATGCAAATGGCCAAGAGACATATGAAAAAATGTTCAACATCACTTGTCATCAGGGAAATGCAAATCAAAACTACCATGAGATACCATCTCACACCAGTGAGAATGGCACATATTAAAAAAACTAGCAACAACAAATGTTGGCGAGGATGTGGAGAAAAAGGAACTCTTCTGCACTGTTGGTGGGAGTGCAAACTGGTCCAACCATTATGGAGAGCTGTGTGGAGATTTCTGGACCTACTAAACATAGAGCTTCCATATGATCCAGCAATTCCACTCCTAGGTATTTACCCAAAGGACACAGAAACATCAATTCCAAAGAGCACCTGCACTCCTATGTTTATAGCAGCACTGTTTACAATAGCTAAGCTTTGGAAACAACCCAAATGCCCAAAAATAGATGACTGGATCAAGAAGATGTGGTACATATATACCATGGAATATTACTCAGCATTCAAAAAAGATAAACACATGCAATTTGCAGCAACATGGATGGCACTGGAAGGGATCATGCTCAGCGAAATAAGCCAAAAAGAAAAAGAAAAATACCGGATGGTCTCACTCATAGCAGGAATCTAGAAAACTTAATTAAGGGACCAGGAAAATGAATATAAGAAAGTGAAAATCAAAATCAACAAAAAACTATGAACCAGAGACACTTTTTGGGGGGTGGGGGGCGGGAGGGGAAGGATTGGGGTCAGAATGGGGCGTTTGCAATTGTATGGGGGAATATAAAAATAAAATTTAATATTTAAAAAAAAAAAAAAAAAAAAAAAAAAAAAGAATTTCCTGCTGGATCATCCACCTACGTTCCCCTTTCTGGGACTGGGTCTCGCAGAACCTTATTCCTAGTTTGGGGCTTCAGCATCTTTCATTGCCAGTCTGACCTCTCACATCAAGCGATTTGGAAACGGGGTGCTTTTCCAGGAAATCATCCACAGGCTGTAACCTCTCCCTTTCTACCAGATTCTCACTACCGCCCGTGGTTTCTCACCAGTGCTAAATCCTCTCTGAGGCTAACAGGACCAAACTGGTCTGTCAGATCTTTTTACAAGCTCCTTTTAGTTCATTTGTTTACATACCTTTAGTTCTGTCTGTGCTATTTTACCACTATTTTGTAGCTTAGACAAAAAACACACAAATCACAGTGATTTCATCATGTGATCAATGTAATAAAAATCCGTTTTCCACATTCTATTATGAATCAGACCCTTTGTATACATGCCCTGATTAAACCCTCATAAAACTCGGAGTAGGTGCTATTGTCCTTCTTTTCTAGATGAGGTTTGGAGGGGTATAATGCCTTGTTTAAAGCTGTGATACAATTTTAATGATTATTAGAGCTAGAATTGGAACCTAGGGAGATTTAAATCTAACCCGTTAATCCCACTATTCTAGAATCTTCAGTTCCTCTTTGGCATGGTGCTGCAAGTCAGTACTCTTTCTGAGTTTCAGGTTAGTTTCCTTCAGTTTTCCTGCGCAGGGATGCAGGATAGGATGCAAGTGGTTTCAAGTTTTACAAGACCACGTTTCTAGGAAGCGCACCAGCAAGCATTTGTGGGCACACGAAGCACCTGGACTCCTCTTGATGGATGATAGAAAGACGGAAAGTAGAACATGAAAAACTCTCAATGGGTGGATAGACACCAAGTTGACCAACCTTCCAACCTTTCCCACACAGATGTGAGTAGTCATTTAAAAACAGAGACAGAGGCTCTGGGGTTTTTAACAGAAGGTATAACCTACTTTCCTTGGTGTGGTTGTTTCTTAAGTTGGTGTAGAGCTTGAACATGGGCAAGGCTTCGCTCTTTCAATTTGCCCCTGGACACGTGCTTAACACAGTCCCTGTCCCTGGTCCTTTAACAAACCAGGGCTGCTCCTGACTTGAGAACTTTGTACTGACTGTTTCCTCTGCTTGGAAAGCTGTTCCTCTCCCCCCCACACCCCCACCCCACACTTGAATGTTCCTCTCTCACTTCATCTCAGATTCTGCTTGTCTCTCTCCTCTCGCAGGTCCTACCTGACCACCCTTCCTAAAATAACACTCCCTAGAGGGTTGACTCTCATCGCTCTCCTCGTAGAGGGCTTCCATGAAGATGCCAGATGCCAGAGGGAAATTCATTCTGATGAAGTAGAATTTCCCCAAAGTAGACTTTCCACAAAGGATGCGAGCTCACTGTTCGTAAGAGCACCCAGCGTTACAACTTGGCAGGAGCACTGAAGGCTGGTCCTGTAACAGGCAAGCCTCTTCTCACTAACAGACACTGCATGGAACCTCAGACTCTTCCAGTTGCACCCTTTTTCCTTTGTCCTCTGCCTGTGAGCACGTGCATTCAGAGTGGCTGTCACTGCGGACACGTGAGCACAAGCCAGCACCTGTTGGGGGTTATCTGTGGACACCCAGGCGTGCCATGCCGTGTAGTAAATTGCCTCTCAGTGATGAAAACCCCAAAGACAGATGTTTCCTACTGAATACTGCATGCCCCAGAAAGTTCCATGAGAAGTATAAATTGGATTTTGAAACAATATTCAGTTTACAAAATGTTTCTCAAGAATGATAGAGTCTCACTATTAAAACCAGAGCATGAAAGGACAATGGTTGTAACCAGTGTTCTAATTTATATGTTTTCCCCACTTATCCCAGATTGAGAATGAGAGATTATGTGTAACCACAAAAGCACACAGTAGTTCAAACACCCAAATGTTGAGGCCATGATTAAAAGGAACCTTGGGAAGAAGTCGGTGAATATTCTTCATTGTTATCAGGTCTTGAGGGTTTCATGTACTTTAAATTTGGCAATGAACAAGAAGTTGTTGATGGAGATACAGAGGTCTCTTGACAAAGTTAATGTTGATTTCCTCCCTTTTACTAAAACACTTTTCTTGAAGTTTAGAAACCATAACTGTCCTCCAACACCAATTGATGTTTTCCTGAGGAAATAATCCTCCCAATACAAAGCCCATTAGTAAATGCAGGAACGATAATTTTTGACATGTGCTGAGCATCTGCCTTGTGCAGTGACTGTTTTGCAATGTACACACACATCACCCCTTTGAGATGGATGCCGTCCTTTGCAGACTCTTGTTCAGAGATGAGGAAAGCAAGTGTCTTGCTTAAGATGATACATCTATGTGGAAACAAAAAAGTAGGATTTGGATTCAGTCTTCTTAAAAACCACTACAGATAGGAACTCCCCCGTGGCTCAGCGGGTTGAGTGCAGCGCTGTGGGGCTGTCTGCAGCCTCTGCAGCGCGAGTTCGATTCCCAGCTAGCCAGGGAGATACCCACATGGTGTGGCAGACCTCTCTTGTCTTGCCCGCTGCTCCCCTCAGCAGTGTATTTCATCATTCTGCCTGTTCTGCTCCCCACTCTGTCTCTGGTGAATTCTCTCACCCTCCTACGCCTCTGGCCTGTACCCTGGTTCTTGTATGAAAAATTTTTCATTAAAAAAAACCCAAAGGGGGGGCGCACTACAGATAGTCTTGCTAAGAGGGTCGAGAAACTTTCCAAAAATAACACTGAGAAATCTTGTCTCCACTTCTGCCATTTTTATCTTAGTGAAGTCTTGTTCAAATCAAAGGTAGTGACACTAGAGGAAGGTGCAGGGAGAAGGCAAGAGGGAGACTGAGTTGGAAGTGAGAGCAGAAGAGACAGACAACTGCTGTTTTACTGGTTGATTTTGCCCTTCCCCCCACACCAGACTTGGACTGCAGCAGCCGGTTCTCCCAGGGGCACATGGGGTCTTTATACCGCGGGTTCACGTGTCTCCCGGACGGGCTGGATCTGAAGGCTGAATTGGCACTAACTGTAGTTAAAATTAACTCTACATGACCTCAGCAGCAGAGACAGAATGTAACGATGCCACGATTTCTCCAATTTCCTAAAGTGAAGTAATTCTACCATTGTTAGAGTTTTAGTTATCAAAAGAGAAATGTAAATGAAATATAATTCTTACTTGATTGACTACAATCGAACAAGTAATCTTGATCAAAAGTCAATCTTTTCTGTCTTTACAGCATTTCAGATCAGTTCTCTAGGACCGCAGCTGGGGATTCGTGTCTTCTAGGCCTGAGCAGTGCCTTACTTGAAATCCCACCCACCATGCCGACTGCTGACTCCAGCAACCTTTCCTCATGGGCAAATGCAAACCACCTCATTTTCCAGCAAGTCCCTGAAGCACTACTTGGTTAGAAACAGTCAGTGCAGAACTGGGTAAATAATACTTTCTACAGCATATCCTGTAAGTTGACTTACATTGTGGCCCTGGTTGAATTCTGCCTAAAGATCAGCAAGAGCCTTTTAAAAAAAAATTATTTATTTATGCATACAAGAACTGGGATACAGGCCAGAGATGCGGGGGATGAGAGGATTCACCAGAGACAGAATGGGGAGCAGAACACGCGGATCTACTGAAATACACAGCTGAGGGGAGCAGTGGATGAGACAGGCGAGGTCTGCTGCGCCATGTGGGCTGCTCCCTGGCTGGCTGGGAATCGAACTTGTGCTGCAGAGGCTGTGGACAGCTTCATGGGTTGCGTCTTAACCCTTGCGCCACCAGGGAGGCCCCCATAGTGCTTCATCTTAACCCCTTGTGTCACCAGGGAGTTGTCCAGCAAGTGTTTTTTGTGACTATGAGGCAACCTGCATGGGGAACCGCTATGGGGTGTGTTTCTGAAACAGTGTGGGGGCGCTTTACTAGAGAATGCAGGCTTCAGCAGTTTCCTGCCAGCAACTGCCTTAAAATTGTCAGAATGAGAAGTGAGAACCTCCTCTTCCATCCAGGTCCCACTTGTTTTGCCTTCTCCCTCCTACATATGCCTATCTACTTAAATGGTAACTGGCACACCTGATATGTTGTCCTTGGTAGATCCTATCTACATACCTGTACTACAGCTCCTCTAAGTCACCCCCGTAAGTCAGGCTGGTATGATTCTATCCATGTGATATGTGATAAGTAAGGAAACTCAAGGTCAGAGAGATTGTGAGCAGGTTATGTTCATGCACATAGCAAATGTGCCACCAGCTGGAAACCAGGTCATAAAAATCTACTATTCACTGTCCATAGACCCAAAGTCAGCCGGCCTGTGTATTGCTGGGCTTGGAGGCTTTTGTTTTGTTTCTTGGGGACTGAGGTTTTGGTTTACAAAATAAAGGTATGATAGTAGTCAGTCATAAAAATACAAATTAAAAAATAAGTATCACTTTCCAGGATGTTAGTGAGCCAATGTTCCAGGCCACACAGAATATATATTGTTTCCAACCTAGTTTGGCACTGACACAGAAACATTTTAAAATGAGGGTATCATCACACTCACGAGATTTAAACCGACCAGGTCTGGAGTCATGTGTTTGGACATCTCCAGATGTTATTCTTCTAGTGGTCATTTCCTCTCATTGTATCCACAAAGCTGTTACTGAATCACAAAGCCATCCCTGTAGATTTCTGGTACCTGATTGAGATTTTCCTGGACGCTCTTCAACTTCCCAGCAGCAATTCAACTGATGAAGAAATAGGAACTGAACATCCCTTCTGGTTCTGATGTCCTCAAATTGCAAGATGTGTCCCCCCCAAACTTAATAGCTGGCATGTATACAAAGATCTGAAAATATCATTGAATAAAGTTTATTTTAAAAGTACCCATCACAAAATGCTATATGACAGTTGTTTATGACATAGCAGCTGTTTATGACATAGGCCGCTGAAGGACCCTACCTTTTGTAATTTTAACTTGATGGAGTGAATGAAATCCCCTCACCTGAGCTGATTCATTGCTTGTGTTCACTTTCAAACCTAAACGTTTGCCTCATATTAAGTATATTAAAGTGCTCAACTGTGCTTTTCTTGGGAATTAAGATGGGTTTTGGAAGAAAATTCAAATTACAATTTCTTCTCTTGTAGATTCATAAATCTACTCACTCATCCATGGTTCATATTTGAATTTGGTTTATTTGCTACTTAGTATTTCTAAGAACTTCAGCTCCATGGAAGGTCTTCTTTTAAAATAGTTTATTTTTCAAAGTAGTTTTATTGAGCTATATATATATTTAACACATATATATGTTAATTACCATATAAATCTCCTAGGTAAATTATAAAATCCAGTGGTTTTTAGTCTACTCAGAGTTGTGCAGTCATAACCACCAACAAGTTTGAAAAAGCTCATCACCCCAAAAAGAAACCCCACATCTGTTAGTGGTTCACAGGTGGCCTCTTGTGTATGATTACGACACCACAAAGTCTGCGTAAACATAGATTAATACTTGTGTTTATCTCTGCTCCTTTCCAAATTCCCTCTAAAATAGCATTAAGGCCTTTTTTTTAAATCATGAAACCCAAGGACAAGAAAAAGAGGGGAGATAACCGCAAGTGAGTCTAAGTGGCTTGGAAATGAACTATGAATGGTCAAGTTGTAACTGAGACAACAGAAGGAAGCTGAGTACCCACAGGAAGTGGTGGTGTCATGTGGCAGCCAATCAGCAGCAAGCTAATTTGCATTGCAGAACCCAGAAAGGCTCAGAAATTTGAAGCATCCACCACCTGAAAGCAGAGGTACTGAATGGGGCCGCAGGGTAACTCTGATTATTAGGCACTTGGTTGAAATACTTTTAAAGGAGGAGATGTTTGAGTTCGAAGACAGTAAAAAGTCAATGTCCTAGTTTCAAAGCTGCCAGGCAGGAGAAATCCCCTCTTATTTGGAGGAGAACCAGCCCTTTTATTCTACTCAGGCCTTGAGCTGTGCAGAAGACCCACATTCGGGGGGAGGGGGGCAACCTGTTATTCAGACTATGCATTAAATAGTAACCTCATCAAAAAATGCCCTCAGACACACCCAGAATAATGTGTGACTCTATATCTGGGTACCGATGGCCCAGTCAAGTTGACATACCACCCTATCTTGGGGTTCTCCAGTGCTACAAACTTATAAGCAGCATTTAGTGTTTTATGCCTAAATGTGAACAGAGATCAGGGACATAAGGCATGTGGGAACCAGACTCTAAGATGAAAAGACAAAAAGCCCGAACAAAAGCAATTTGGAGAAAACGGGGAAAACATCAAAAAGAAAATAAATCAAGCAAGTACTCACTCCTAGTATCCTTATTGAATGTTATTGTCAGAAGAGATAGAAATTGTTCACGAGAGTACTTTAAAATACAGCATTCAGAGACTAAGAAAGTGCCTCCTGGAAAGTAAAATAAAAATGACATAACAAAAAAAAATAGACGGTATGAAAGATGTCAAGAAAAATCTTAAAAACTAGGGAAAAAATGAACATTGGGATCAAAAATAGGAGGAAAAACAGCAATTTTGAGATTCGATCATAGTTGCACCAAAATGAGAACAAGAGCCGAGGTGGGGAGGGCGTTATTTCAAGTCCCAAGAATGGTTCAATATACTTGAATCAAAAACGTGATCCAGCACATCAACAAAAGGAACACAAAACATCATAGAATCACCTCATTACATGCAGGAAAAGCACTTGCCAAGATTCAACGCCCTTGTCATCTTATTGATAAACCCCTCCAGGAAAACGGTTATAGAAGGAATATACCTCAACATAACACAGGGCACATATGACAAACACGCAGCCAATCACACTCCCCTTGACAACGGACAACTCCACATGACACTTCTCCTCTATGATCAGGACCAAGACAAGGATGTCTCTTCTCACCACCAGTTGTCAACACAGTCTTGGAAGGCCTCGCCAGCGCAATTAGACAAAAAAGGACAGAAAAGTTACCCGGATTGGAAAGAAAACAGCAAAACTACCACTGCTTGCAGATGGCACTATAATATCCACAGAACAGGCCAGAGGTTCCAGTAAGAAGCTCGTAACAGTAACAAACAAGGGTGGTTGGTCACAGACAGGAGCGTGGGGTGCCACGGAAGCGCCGCCTGGCACAGCTCTGGCAGCACCTCTGCCTGCCCTTGGCGACGGCGGGGCGCTGCGCGGCCTGGTGACAGCTGGCACACCTGAACGCCTTCTCCTCCTCGTCACTTCCCACTTCATAGTTCTCCCCGTCGCAGGCGCCATAGCGGCCCTCATGGACCTCACGTTCGATCTGCCACCCGTGCTTGTAATCGGAGCGGTCGTGGAGGAATTTGCAGCTGTCCCCGAAGCCGCAGAAGCCGGTCTCCTTGTAGTCCTTGCAGACGTCGGGCTGGTAGTCCCAGCGCACGGTGGCGCGCAGGTGCTCGGGGGCTCGGAGCGGGCCCTTCCTCGCCCTCCCCGCCGCGGCCCGGCCCGGCCACGCGGACTTGGGCGTCTCGTACTCCTGGGAACCACTGACACCGCGATAGAGCCCGTCGTCGTCGTCCCGGTCCCCGCGCTGCGCCTGGGGCCTCCGGCTGCGCCCCACGACGGCCTGCGCGTTGCGCCCTTCTCTGCGTCGAGCTGGTACGCGGCGGTCGCCCCCATGTCCTCCGGGCCCGCCGGCTTGGCCGAGCGCGTGGACCTGTAGGCCACGGCCGGGCCCTCGGGCTCCCCGTCGCTGCCCGCCCCGCCGCCCGCCGCCCCCCGCCGCCCCCGGCTCCCCTGGATCATGGGGTCGCGGCTCGGCCGCCTCTTCTGCGGGCGCACCACGGCGCTGCCCTCGTCGCCGCTGCCGTCCCCCGGCTCCGGGTCGCGGCCCCGCGGGCGCCGGCCCGCCGCCCCTCTGCGCGCCGGCTTTCTGAAGAGGAAGGCGCAGGCCTGGTCGGCGGACTTGCCCGGAGAAGGCCGCTCCGCCATTCTGCGCCCCGAGTTCCCCAACGGCCGCGGCGCCCCGTGTCAAGGGCTTTGCGCGTCACTGCCCGGCGCTCCGGCGCGGGTCGCAGCAGATAGACGCTGGGGAGGACCCGCCGTCAAGCAGGTGGGAAGAGCGCGAGCGCGAGGGAGCACTTTTGAGCCCCGCGGGCTACCATAGCGCCTCAGAAGACGCGTGTGATGCACGTGCACCAGCGCGCCGGCAGGTTGCCGCGGAGCCTGCCGGGAAGGATATGAAGCCGCTGTCTGCAAGGGGTCTGGGGGGATGCTGGGGCTGGGGGCTGGGGGGGACTGAGGCTGGGGACTGGGGGGGGACTGGGGCTGGGACTGGGGGGGGGGGGGCTGGGGGGGCGCTTTGGGCATGTGTTTCTGGCGGGCCTGGGCTCTTCGTCCTGGGCGTGCGTTTGGTCATCGGAAGAGCTGCCTGGTCCTGCAGGTTCACTAACAGGGGCAAGGGAATATTAGTCATGGCTGTGCATTTGATGGAGAGGTGAGGGGCGTCAGTTAATCGTCACTGCTTGTCAAAGGGTGTAGGGGAAATTGATTCAGGAGGCATTTTCCTGCCATGAAAAATAGCTTCTGCTCATGCACCCTCACTAGAAAAGCATGCAGTACATGGTATAGCTTGCAATGTGTTAGGAAGTGCGTATTAAAACTAAAATGGGAACTAAAAATATAAAGAAATTGACAGCTACACAGTTAGAAATAGGTGGTGTGGCTCTACACACAACCAACCAACCAAGAGAAGGGAAATCAGGAGAGCAATTCCACTTACAATCTCATCCGACTGAATGAAATACCGTGAAATAAATTTGATCACAGAGGTGAAAGACCCGCACACTGGAAGCTGCAAGAGGTTGTAGACAAAAAGAGAATACACAAAGGGATGAAAAGATAGCCCATGTTCATGGATTAGAAGAATTAACATCTTTCAAATGGCTATTTTACCTAAAGTAAGATACAGATTCAATGCACTCCCTATCAAAATCTCCATGGTATTGTTCAAATGCAACAAGTAACTCATGAAATTTATTTGGAACTGAGTAATAAGAACAATCCTGAGAAAAAAAGAACAAAAATATGGATATCATGTTATCTGACTTCAGAGAACACTATGAAGTGATAGTGATCAAAATGGCTTGATATTGGAATAAAGATAGATATACAGACAATGGAACAGAATTGAGAGAACAGAAAAGAACCCGCACACATATGGACAAATGTTTTATGACAAAGGAGCAAGGAAAGTCCCTTCAAAAAAAGATGTTGGGAAAATTGGACAGCCACATGCAAGGGAATAAATCTAGTGCACTATCTTACACCACGCATGAAAATAAATTCAAAATAGATTAAAGATGTGCATGTAAGCTCTGAAACCATAAAATAAATAGAAGAAAACAGGCAATATGCTCCTTGACATCAGCCTTAGAGAGGTCCTTGGGAATTCAACTCCACTAGCACAGGAAACAAAAACAAAGATAAATAAGGCTACATCAAATTTAAAAACTTCTGTACAGTGAATAAACTAGCATCAAAATGAAATGACATCCTACTGGATGAGAGAAGATACGTGCAATTCATACAACTGACAAGGGACTAATATCAAAAAATACATAAAAGAACTCATAAAATTCAACAATAGAAAAACAACCTGATTTAAAAATAGACACTTCTTCAAAGATGATATACAGATGACTAAAAGACTCATGAAAATATGTTCATCTCTAATTATTAGGAAAATGCAAATGAAAATATCAATAACAAGATATCACCTTACTCCTGTGAAAGAAGACAAGAAACAAGTAGTGGGGAAGATGTGGAGAGAAGAGAACCCTTGTACACTGTTGGTGGGAATGTAAATTGATGCAGCCTTTATGGAAAGCAATATAGAGATTCCCCAAAAAATTCAAAATAGAAATTTCATACAATTCTGTTACCCCACTTCTGGATATTTACCCAAAGAATAGAAAAACACTAATTCAAAGAGACATATGCAGTCTCATGTTCATTGCAGCATTACTGACAATAATAGCAGGGATGGCACAAAGGGCCTCTTTGGCATTCTGCAAAAGTTCAGTGTGCCCACGGCCGGTGGCAAGGGACAAAGCTGGGAAGGGAAGCGGTAGCTGGGTCTCAAAGGAATAAATAGCACAAGGGCCAATGCTGTGAAGCTAGTACGTATGGAAGCCACCAAAGGACGAAACCATCTCTCCGAAATGCTTCCCTAGGATCGGGCAGCAGTTGGATTATGCTGAATGTGTGGAGAGAATATGACTTCTGGCTTTAAACATATCCCAGTGTTTCAAAATGCCTCTTCTCCCTGTCTGACAATTAGCTTGGATTGTTTGCACAATGGCTGTTTGCCTCATTGCAGCTGGACTCCGGGGCAGGAGAATGGAGAAACTGTGGCTGAACTAAGGGGGACTCTCTCCCCCTCCCCCTGCAGGAGTAAAATGTAGAAAATATTTCTGTAGAACAATAATCATAACTTGTTTTTTACTCTGATTTGATAGCTATATCCATGGTCAGAATATAGGTGGAGTATTTTTCACTCAGATCAAAGACAAATAGAAGGAAACCTTTCTCCCCTGGACAAATAAATAACTGCAACTGCAAGAACAGTCTTACCAGTTTACCCATAGAAGAAATCGCATAAGGAGACCCACCCCCTTTCTTCTCAGAAAACACTTTTGGTAGGATGCCAGGGCCAGGCTGGAATGGGTTTCCCAGGGCACAGCAGCTGTAGTTGAAGAATTCAGGAGTGCTACCTCCCCTGAGTTACCAAAACATTAACTTGTCACCTAAGCCTGTGCAAGAAACGAAAGCCTATGCTTTGGAATTCTCTCCCTGACTGATCTTACTTCTCTCCCCCACAAAAACCAAGCAGAGTTCAGGCTTACCGTGACTGTTATTGCTCTTCAGGATTACACATTAATCCGCACAATGTAATTAGTTTACAACAACTTACATCGCTTAATTGTGCTGTGGCATCTAAGGAATTTGACAGTGTTGGTGGTAACACTGCCATTTGTTTATACCAACAACACATCATTAGGGGTTTAGCTTAGCGAAACCCTAATGCATCTAAAGTATTCTTGGTTCAGAATGAAGTCATATCACTAAGCATATCTCAACCCAGATGTGCCCCCCAAACTATGACTTGTGATGAGTGACAGGAGTCATGCCCCCAGGCCGGGGCATGGTGATGGTGAACACAGAATTGCATCGTTCTGATTTTGTTTGGGCATTTGACCACATGAGCACATAAGGAGTATGCGTCCTTAATAGAGGAGAATTATCTTATGTCTTTCATTATGAGAAGGGGAAGACATCAGGCTCAAATAGAAGTAAATCATTGTCATAGTCTTAAAACTGTGTCTCCTAGAATAGGACTCAAGGAAGTAGCAGCCTGTATCTGAAGAGGTTCTGGGAAGAGCTGAAGCTGTCCACCTTTCGCCATTCTTTACCTGCAGACAATGCTCTCCATCTACTCCACTAAATGTAGATGTTCTGTGATAAAGCAGGGTGCAGAACCCCAGAGCCCCGAAGTCTGTGAAAAGATAGTATGGTAATATTATGCTAATGGGGAGGTTTTGGAAGTACACATGTGACTGGGAAATTAAAATGTTGAGCCTCCACGGTCATCAACAAACTGCAGTCTTGGTTTTTCCAGATGCACTTTGCTTAGGATAGGAAAGTCTTGGGCCTCCCTGGTGACCTAAGGGTTGAATGTCAGAGCTATGACCACTATGGCCTGAATTTGATCCCCAGCCAGGGAGCTACCCACATGGCGCAGCAGACCTCTCCTGTCTCCCTGCTGCTCCCCTCAGCAGTATATTTCGGTGGATCTGCCTGTTCTGTTCCCTACTCTGTCTCTGATGAATCCTCTCACCCCCCACACCTTTGGCCTACACCCCGCTTGTTCTATGCAAAAAGGAAAAAAGGATAGGAAAGTCTTGGGGCATGAAGGAAACTTGGAGATGAGGCCAAACTGGGGGTCTGATGGTGACTTTACTGGTTCTATGACTTTTTACACACGAACACAAGCATTTTTGAAGTTGTAAAATATGACATATATACTTGCAATGTTTAGAAAGAAACTGTATTCCTTAAAGAGGTCTAGGACAGCAGGGAAATAACTGATTTTGACAAGAAAGAGATCAGAATCCCATTCTTTGCTCTGCAGCTGAATTTATGAGTTACTCAGGCAAGTTTACTTACCTCTTAGGGATTCCATTTCTTTACTCTGAAATAACAAGAGCTACCCCCGCAGTTACCTGTGAATGAATGACATGATATGTGTAGTATAACTAGGTCATTGCTTGAAAGGTAGGAGGAACTCCATAAACAGATTTCTGTCTGTAAAATGGGTAGATGGGGTAATGTGATCCCCAAGATCTTTTATAATATTAAGAAAATTGTAAGTAACGCATCAGCAGCCCCTAGTAAATTAACCTCTTCCCCACTGCCTTGAAGCACCTTCAGGTCTCCATAAATTGCCCCCCCCCCTTTATTCAACCAGGCACAACATCCTTCTCAGATCCATTCGTGGCTCCCCAACCATTGCCATGCAGAACTACTGTTTAGATAACGGCCACCTCTTGCTCGAATGAATCTAACTGCCTTTTAACTAACTAGCTTCCTGCCTTCCAGACTTGCACTTGCTACTTTACTAAGACAACCACGTGAAGCCCCGGACAGGCACAGGCTTCAGATGTGTGCTCCTCTCTGCCCTCACCCAAGCAGACAGATCCAGGAGCCACCTCTTCCTGTTTCTTCACTGTGCCTTGGAGGACTAACTAATTACTATTTTTCATGTCTGGGAAGCACCACTGTTTAGTCCTCTCTCTGCCCCGTAGCCAAAGCGACCTTGGAAAGAAAAATATATCATCATGCTTATCACAGTTGATGGCTCCTCATGTTGACTTCAGGATCAATCCAAATGTATAAAATTCACTTCATCTGCTCTAATTCATGTCAGACAAACCAGGCTGTCTTGAGAAAATATTTCCCAAATT